GACTGGAAGAGGGCGCAATGATGTCGGCCGCCAACATGTCATTTACTGCCGACTGCACATGCTCCTTCTCGGCTGGACTGAGCCGGAAGGGATTCTGTCGAATAGGGGCCGCGTCCCCAGTCTTTATGTGCTGGCGCAACAGGTCTGTGCAGCCAATGTCGTACTTGTGCCTGCTAAACACGTCAGCGAACTCGAGCAGCAAGCCCCTCAATGCACCCAACTGCACACTGGACAAGGTACTGGACCCGGCACACAACGAGTCCAACCACTCCGTCCCCTCCTCACTTTGGGGATGCGTATCGACATGTGAATCGGCGTGAGCAACGAGCTGTTCCTCGACGGGTAGCGGCGCGGCGTGAGCGAGCACCGTTCCCTGCGTAATCACGGCCGGCCGCGACCCCGTATTCAGGACCACAACGAACGGCTCACTGTCCCCCCTCACCATGGTCTGGGCCACCGCTAAGTCGAGGTCCCCTTTAGCCCTGTTAGACGGCCCCAATAGAACTCCCTGCGCCCCCGCATCCGCCCCAAGGGGTTTTCTCAACCGAAGGGGTACCAACATTTGCGATCCCGGGGGCACCCGTACAGTCCGGGTTGCCAGCGCCTGCACCGTCGCACAAGCCGTGCGTATCTTATTTGGACTCTTCAAAAACTCAACCCGCCGACCCGACGGAAGCTCAATGCAGGCCTGGTCTATGAGAATTTTTATGGGCATTTTAGACAGAAAGTCCGTGCCTAGTAAACAAGGAACGGCCAACGATGATGATACAAAAATAGGACCCGCCAATTTAATGTCGTCAATACAAATATTCGCCCGAATCTGGCCGATGATTCCCAAAGATCCCCCGTTTGCCGCGTAAAATGGTACGTCCACCGGCAGAAGTGGTCGACATTGTACGGGAAGAATATTATAAATAAGGTCCGAAATAATAGTGGCCGACGCACCCGTGTCCACGAGCACCCGGACCTCAACCCCGTCAATGTACCCCGTTACCACGGACGACCCGGCCGACGCAGCCACAATCCTGTGGGCCAATTCGGACCACTCGACTGCCTTCGGGCCGTACGCGGACCCCTCTCGCCGAACCGAACCCCCGGCGCCCATACACGGTCCCCCCACCGCTAAGCGGCGACCCGAACGTGCCGTGCGTGTGGACCGAACGTGTGAGGTGCCGCGACTTGCCGGGTTCAGTTGGGATGTCTTGAGTCCCTGGTCGTCGTCCGGACGTGGTCCCGCGGTGCGTTGACGCGGGGCCCGGCACCCGTACGCGACGTGGCCCCGAAGGACGCAGTTGTAGCAGACGACGAGGGACGTCGTAGGTTTCGGTTGCTCCAGCTTGCGGGAGGAGCGTGTGGGCGAACGACCTCCCGTTCTCCACTCCCCCGGCCTCAAACCAGCGAAGGCCTCCTCCCGAGGCACAGCAGGCTAAGGTCCGATGATCGTGGCGGCCGGTGCCCCGTTCTCCACCGATGCGCAGACGACCGTCGGCTTCCGCTGTAGGACCTTGTAAGCGTGGATACTCGTGGCAATCCCCAGGGAGCAGATGTCCATCTCGTCCGCCGTATTAATGGGAACTCCCAATCCGTGAGCCAGCGCCAGCAGCTGCTCCGTCACCATGGCGTCCTTCCCCTCCTTGTCCATGCGGGGAAAAGCTGAATCCGCCAGGGCGAGCAGCGCCGTGCGATAGGCGAGCGTTGTTTCTCCAACCACCTTCCGCCGATCGTAGAACTGGTGGCGACAGGTCGAGGGCGGCCCGAACACCTTGGCCAACAGGTGCAGCGCGGCCTGGAGCGTTGAGCGGGACGACCTCGGGGCAGACGTGAAGGCCGCAAGCGCGTCGTCGTCGAGCATCGCTGGCAGCGCGCGCAGGGCAGTGGTGTCGGACCACCCCGACATTTCTTGATGCGCGATGAACCGTCGCTGGAAGGCTCCCCAGTCGCCCCCGTCCGCCTTGAACACCGACAGCGCGGGCAATCGTTGCTGGAGAACTCGATCGTCGTCGTCGTCGTTGGAACGATTTTCCCGCGCGCCGCTGTGGTTGTAGAAAATGTCGGCTCCCTCTGCAGGCGCAAAATGGAGAGCTCCGGCGCTCGCCGATGACGCGGGCTGCGCTGTGTGGAGACCTCTGGCCACGTGGTGTCCGCGTTTCCCGCCAACCGGAGGCGGACCCTCAAAAATGGCGCCAACTCCAAAACTTTTGGCGCGAAACGCCTTATGGCGGGAACCCTCCAGCCGCGCCGCCTCTTCCAACCCCGCAGGCGTTCCACCGGCCGCTGCAACGGAGATCTCCGCCAAGATCGCAGCGGCGGCGAGCAGCAACTCCGCCAGGCGGGAGTGTGCGTCCTGCAGGCTGGTGTCGGAGGCGGGCGGAGCATCGGCCATTTCCGCGAAGTGCTGCATCGGCGGCAACTCCTCGTCCTCTCCTCCCGAGGGTGGTGTCACCGGTACGTCGTCGTCTCCCCGGTCTTGCACGTGGGAACGAGAAGTCTTCCTTGTGTCCATTCTCCTTGAAGACAGGTTTACTTCTGACGCCAGTTGTAAAGTAGTAACTCGGCAGGAGACGACTTCACGGGTAGCACACTCTTTATTTTCACCAACTTGTAGTTACACGGATGACTAACACCCTACTTCGTTACACGGGTGACCAACACCCACTTAGCTACACGGGTGACGGACACCCACTCAGCTACACGAGTGACTAACACCCACTCAGCTACACGGGTGACCAACACCCACTCAGCTACACGGGTGACTAACACCCACTCAGCTACACGGGTGACCAACACCCACTCAGCTACACGGGTGACTAACACCCACTCAGCTACACGGGTGACCAACACCCACTCAGCTGTACTGACACGGGCTCTTACGCCCCGTAGCCTTCCGGGACACACCCAGCCGGGGTGCCCGTCTCGGCTCTGGGTACCACCGTCCCGACCCACACGGGCGTCGGACTACGGCCCCCCCAGTCTCGGCTCCGAGCCACACAGGGCCCCGGTCCCCACAAGGACGGCGGGACTAGGGGTCTCGGGCCACTACCTCCTCCACCCCGTCTTCGGTCTTCAACTGATTAACACTGACCACGAGTGCTCTCGCGCGTCCCCCTTTATACCCCTCCTGCGGACGTCGCTGAGAGTACCCACTTATCTGACCAATCACTGCGCACTCGCTACGATCCTCTTTTCCCAGCTTGTGTGAGCGCGCCTCACCACCGGCGCGCGCGTCCATGCCACGCCCACATCGCGTGCCCAACCCCGCGCCCCGTGATCCATCACTGCCGGCGCACGTCAATACCACCACTACAAGTATAACCCGTAAAAACAAAGTTTTTCACTATAAATCCTTTATATGCGTGGCGGCTAGAGTCCTCTCGTCCTCTGGCTTGAGATGGCTGCCAACTATGGGTCAGATGATTGTCTGCCAGTATTAAGCAATTGGTAATTAAATAATTAAATATTTCCCCTAAACTGTGTCAAATTTTGGAAAAAAAATTTCACGAACATTAATTGTCTCGCACAACGAGTCTGTGTGCAAAATATCAGCTCGATTGGATCACGGGAAGTGGTTTAAAAAACGACAGAAAGGTTTGCACGGTCGTAAGCAAGCACGCAAGCAAGCACGCAAGCAAGCGAACTTAATATAAAGGATTTAATAAGAAAGCAGTGGTTGTGTGTGTGCTGTGCGTGGTGGTGGTGGGTGGTTCCCCAGCTGTCCGAGTGAAAGCGAGAGAGATGAGGAGGGAGAGGGAGGGAGATGGGCCACGGGGCAGACAGACGGGCAGCTGGGGAAGCTTTCCGAGGGTCGATAAGTCACTGACCTGACGGCTGGACGGGCTGTCACGTGACCCTCAAGCAAGAAACTCCGGTTCAGGCCTGTGCCTAATGTGCACTTGCAATTACAAACATCAACACACACAACAACAACAGTCATTCGCCACTAAGTCGCGGTGACGTCACCACGATGCTTGTGCCAGGCCAAGTGCACCTTGAGGCCACGTGAAGTGTCGAACGCCCGCTGGCAGGAGGTCACGGGGCAGACCCAGCAGGTGCCACGGGTCGACTGACTGAGATGACTGAGACGAGTGGCTGATGCACCACCTGTGCCCCCTACTGTGCCAACTTGCTGTGCTTTAGCCACCCGGCGCCCTGCTCATTGTTGTGAGCGTCGCTCCTCCGCCCTCCGTTGTTGTTGGAGGGCGACTGCCTCCAACTGCCCAGTAGCGTCCTTCACGAGCCTCCTCCACCGAGGCCGATCTTGACACCGCTGGTACCAGTCATCGGCAAGTCCACTCAGCTCCACGTCCTCCTGTACCACATCACTCCATCTCTTCTCTCGCCCGTGCCGCGCCCGTTTAGCCCCCTCGATCCGGCCGAACAAAAGCTGTTTAGGCATGTGGTGGCTGGGCTCACACACACACACAAGTACACACATACAGACATCGACTTGAGATACACACACATGGACTCACACACAAGTACACACATACAGACATCAACTTACACACACATACAAACTTACACAGACATTGACTTTAGATACACACACATGGACTCACACTCACACACACAAGTACACACAGACATCAACTTATACACACATACAAACTTACACACACAGACATCGACTTTAGATACACACACATGGACTCTCACACACACAAGTACACACCGACATCGACTTACACACAAGTACACACAGACATCGACTTACACACATATACAAACTTACACACACAGACATCGACTTTACATACACACACATGGACTCACACACACATGATAGTCTATTCCCATGCTATCCCAACGGAAATCGATTCCAATAGCTTAATCAACTATAAATCGATTCCCATGTTATCCCAATAGAAATCGACTCTATACATCCATTAATCTTCAGTAATCGATTCCTAATGCTATCCCATTAAGAATCGACGCGAGCAGAGTTAATCGAATCGGGAATCGAGTTTCTCTGCACCACGTGACTTGGGAAACTGCAAAACGCGTCTCCCGGATGGGCGTCATGGCGGCGAGGAAACTCGTCTCGAGACTTGGCCTACTCTTCCTCTCCCTCCTCCTCCTCCACCACCTCCACCTCGTCACGTGCACACACGGTGAGCACAGCCGGAGGTGGTCGATACATCGGGTACCAAGTTGTGGTGGACGTGGGGAGCGGTGGTGCAGTGGTTAGCGCAGTGTGGGAGTGGGGAGCGGTGGTGCAGTGGTTAGCGCACTGTGTGTGTGTGGGGGGAGTGGTGGTACAGTGGTTAGCGCAGTGTGTGCGTGTGGGGGGAGCGGTGGTGCAGTGGTTAGCGCACTGTGTGTGTGTGTGTGGAGCGGTGGTGCAGTGGTTAGCGCATTGTTTGTGTGGAGTGGTGGTACAGTGGTTAGCGCACTGTGTGTGTGGGGGGAGCGGTGGTGCAGTGGTTAGCGCACTGTGTGTGTGTGTGTGGAGCGGTGGTGCAGTGGTTAGCGCATTGTTTGTGTGGGGCGGTGGTACAGTGGTTAGCGCACTGTGTGTGTGGGGGGAGCGGTGGTGCAGTGGTTAGCGCACTGTGTGTGTGTGTGGGGAGCGGTGGTGCAGTGGTTAGCGCACTGTGGGGAGCGGTGGTGCAGTGGTAAGCGCACTGTGTGTGTGTGGGGAGCGGTGGTGCAGTGGTTAGCGCACTGTGTGTGTGTGGGGGGAGCGGTGGTGCAGTGGTTAGCGCACTGTGTGTGTGTGGGGAGCGGTGGTACAGTGGTTAGCGCACTGTGTGTGTGTGGGGAGCGGTGGTACAATGGTTAGCGCACTGTGTGTGTGTGGGGAGCGGTGGTACAATGGTTAGCGCACTGTGTGTGTGTGGGGAGTGGTGGTCCAGTGGTTAGCGCAGTGTGGGGAGCGGTGGTGCAGTGGTTAGCGCACACTGCCCATCTCCCCAGCTGCGACTCCCCCTCTGAATGTCCGCGTGGAGTCTCGCGACCTGCTGACGCAACTCCGCTGGGACCACGACGCTCAAGTGGACGTCGCCACCAGCAGCAGCTCAAAGCTCCTGGACGTTACCTACAGGGTGGACAGCAAACTGTGAGATGCTCGCTCACTCATCCACTCGCTCACTCACTCACCCACTCGCTCACCCATCCACTCACTCATCCACTCGCTCAACCACTCACTCAACCACCCATCCACTCACCCACCCACCCACTCACCCACCCACTCACCCACCCACTCACTGACTCACCCACTCACCCACTCACTCACTGACTCACCCACCCACCCACTCACCCACTCAACCACCCACTCACTCACTGACTCACCCACCCACTCACTCACCCACTCACCCACTCACCCACCCACTCACTCACCCACTCACCCACCCACTTACTCACCCACCCACTCTCTCACTCACCCACTCTCTCACTCACCCACTCACTCACTCACCCACTCACTCACTCACTCACCCACCCACTCACTCACCCACCCACTCTCTCACTCACCCACTCACTCACTCACTGACCCACCCACTCACTCACTGACTCACCCACTCAACCACCCACTCACTCACTGACTCACCCACTCACCCACCCACTCACTCACCCACCCACTCTCTCACTCAACCATCCACTCACCTACCCACTCACTCACCCGCTTACTCACCCACCCACTCTATCACTCACCCACTCACTCACCCACCCACCCACCCACTCTCTCACTCACCCACTCACTCACCCACCCACTCATCCACCCACTTACTCACCCACCCACTCTACCACCCACCCACTCTCTCACTCACCCACTCACTCACCCATCCACTCGCTCACTCAACCAATCACTCACCCATCCACTCACCCACCCATCCACTCACCCACCCATCCACTCACCCACCCATCCACTCACCCACCCATCCACTCACCCACCCATCCACTCACCCACCCACTCACCCACCCACTTACTCACCCACCCACTCTCTCACTCACCCACTCACTCACCCACCCACTCACCCACCCACTTACTCACCCACCCACTCTCTCACCCACCCACTCCCTCACCCATCCACTCACCCACCCACTCACTCACCCACCCACTCACCCACCCACTTACTCACCCACCCACTCTCTCACCCACCCACTCCCTCACCCATCCACTCACCCACTCACTCACACACTCAACCACTCACTCACCCACCCACTCACCCACCCACTCACCCACCCACTCACCCACTCACCCACTCACTCGCCCACTCACCCGCTTGCTCACTCACCCCACTCACTCACCCACTCACTCACCCACTCTTTCTCTCACTCACTCACCCACTCTCTCACTCGCCCACTCACCCGCTTGCTCACCCACTCACCCTACCACTCACCCACTCACTCACCCACTCACTCACCCACCCACCCACTCACCCACCCACCCACTCACCCACCCACCCACCCACTCACTCACTCACCCACCCACCCACTCACTCACCCACCCACCCACTCACTCACCCACTCACCCACCCACTCACCCACTCACCCACTTACTCACCCACCCACTTACTCACCCACCCACTCTACCACCCACCCACTCTCTCACTCACCCACTCACTCACCCATCCACTCGCTCACTCAACCAATCACTCACCCATCCACTCACCCACCCATCCACTCACCCACCCATCCACTCACCCACCCACTCACTCACCCACTCTTTCTCTCACTCACTCACCCACTCTCTCACTCGCCCACTCACCCGCTTGCTCACCCACTCACCCTACCACTCACCCACTCACTCACCCACTCACTCACCCACCCACCCACCCACTCACCCACCCACCCACCCACTCACCCACTCACCCACCCACCCACCCACTCACTCACTCACTCACCCACCCACCCACTCACCCACCCACCCACTCACTCACCCACTCACCCACCCACTCACCCACTCACCCCACCCACTTACTCACCCACCCACTCTACCACCCACCCACTCTCTCACTCACCCACTCACTCACCCATCCACTCGCTCACTCAACCAATCACTCACCCATCCACTCACCCACCCATCCACTCACCCACCCATCCACTCACCCACCCACTCACCCACCCACTTACTCACCCACCCACTCTCTCACTCACCCACTCACTCACCCACCCACTCACCCACCCACTTACTCACCCACCCACTCTCTCACCCACCCCCTCCCTCACCCATCCACTCACCCACCCACTTACTCACCCACCCACTCTCTCACCCACCCACTCTCTCACTCACTCACCCACTCACTCACCCATCCACTCACCCACCCATCCACTCACCACCCATCCACTCACTCACCCACCCACTCACCCACCCACTTACTCACCCACCCACTCTATCACTCACCCACTCACCCACCCACTCACTCACACACTCAACCACTCACTCACCCACCCACTCACCCACCCACTCACCCACCCACTCACCCACTCACTCACTCACTCACTCGCCCACTCACCCGCTTGCTCACTCACCCCACTCACTCACCCACCCACTCACCCCCCCACTTCCTCACCCACCCACTCTTTCACTCACCCACTCACCCACCCACTCACTCACACACTCAACCACTCACTCACCCACCCACTCACCCACCCACCCACTCACCCACCCACTCACCCACTCTCTCTCTCACTCACTCACCCACTCTCTCACTCGCCCACTCACCCGCTTGCTCACCCACTCACCCTACCACTCACCCACTCACTCACCCACTCACTCACTCACCCACCCACCCACTCACCCACCCACCCACTCACTCACTCACTCACCCACTCACTCACCCACCCACCCACTCACCCACCCACCCACCCACCCACTCACCCACCCACCCACCCACTCACTCACCCACCCACTCACTCACCCACTCACCCACCCACTCACTCACTCACCCACCCACCCACCCACTCACCCACCCACTCACCCACTCACCCACCCACCCACTCACTCACCCACCCACCCACCCACTCACTCACCCACCCACCCACCCACCCACCCACTCACTCACCCACCCACTCACTCACTCACTCACTCACCCACCCACCCACCCACTCACCCACTCACCCACCCACCCACCCACTCACCCACCCACTCCTCACCACCACCTCCTCCTCCCCGTGTCTCTGTCTGTGCAGCTATGGACGAGCCCGCTGGCGGACCGTCTGCGCTGCCACCGCAGAGACACGGTGCGATGTCTCCTCAGCTCTGCGACATCCCGGCGACCGCTATCAACTTCGCGTCAGATCCACCGTCTTATCACCACCACCAACACCACCATCACCACCATCACCACCATCACCACCATCACCACCATCACCACCATCACCACCATCACCACCATCACCACCATCACCACCACCATCACCACCATCACCATCACCACCATCATCGTCACCCTGGGTCGTGGTGGAGGTATTACCCTTGAAGACAAGTAAGTGGCATTGTCTGTGTGTGTCTGTGTGAGTTTCTCTGTGTGAGTGTCTCTGTGTGTGAGTGTCTCTGTGTGTGTGTGTCTGTGTGTGTCTCTGTGTGTGAGTGTCTGTGTGTGTGTTTGTGTGTGTCTATGTCTCTGTGTGTCTCTGTGTCTGTGTGTGAGTGTCTCACTCTCTGTGTCTCTGTGTGAGTTCTTCTGTGTGAGTGTCTCTCTGTGTGAGTGTCTCTGTGTGTGTGTGTATCTCTGTGTATGAGTGTGTGAGTGTCTCTGTGTGTGTCTGTGTGTCTGTGTGTGAGTGTCTCTGTGTGAGTGTCTCTGTCTGTGTGTGTGTCTGTGTGAGTGTCTGTGTGTGTGTCTCTGTGTGTGTCTCTTTGTGTGTCTCTGTGTGTGAGTGTCTCTGTGCGTGTCTGTGTGTGAGTGTCTCTGTGTGAGTGTCTCTGTCTGTGTGTGTCCCTTGATCGACGCCCGGGTGCGATCAAGGGATGGCTCCCTATTGGTCAACCACGTTATGTATGCCGATGATTTGGTAATAGCTGCTCATTCAGAAGAGGAGTTGGAGACGCTGCTGCTGAGACTGGAGCGTGCCACTAAGAGGTGGGGCCTTACCATCAGCCCCACCAAAACTAAGCACCTGCCTGGGTATTTTGTACCATCGGACACTCCACCCCCACAACTCCCAATTGGTGATGGGGCAGTTGTGGAGAGAGTGGAGAGTTTCCCATACCTGGGCAGTGTGCTTATGACCGGCTCCAGTTTATCAGCAGAGGTCTCACTCCGAATCAGTCGAGCGGCAATATCTTTTCATCGGTTGCGTAACGCTGTGTGGAAGCTACCTGGTCTGTCGCTCCGCACGAAGCTTCAGGTCTTCTCGGCCACGGTCATTCCCTCCCTTCTCTACGCTTGCGAGACGTGGACCCCCCTGGTGGAGCATCTTCGCCGGTTGGAAACATTTAGGCTGGCCTGCCTACGATCCATCCTGGGTTTAACCAGGCTGGATTGTGTGAGGAGCTCACAAATCCTTGAAAGATCTGGGCAAAGTCCCATCAGTGAGCTCCTCCGGCAGGCAAGGCTGCGTTGGCTGGGTCATGTAGCCCGCATGCCCAGCCACCGCATGCCTAAACAGCTTTTGTTCGGCCGGATCGAGGGGGCTAGACGGGCGCGGCACGGGCTGGAGAAGAGATGGAGTGATGTGGTACAGGAGGACGTGGAGCTGAGTGGACTTGCCGATGACTGGTACCAGCGGTGTCAAGATCGGCCTCAGTGGAGGAGGCTCGTGAAGGTCGCTACTGGGCAATTGGAGGCAGTCGCCCTCCAACAACAACGGAGGGCGGAGGAGCGACGCTCACAACAACGAGCGGAGCGCCGGGTGGCTAAAGCACAGCAAGTTGGCACAGTAGGGGGCACAGGTGGTGCATCAGCCAGTCATCTCGGTCATCTCGGTCAGTCGACCCGTGGCACCTGGGTCTGCCCCGTGACCTCCTGCCAGCGGGCTTTCGACACTTCACGTGGCCTCAAGGTGCACTTGGCCTGGCACAAGCATCGTGGTGACGTCACCGCCACTTAGTGGCGAATGGCGGTTGTTGTTGTTGTTGTTGTCTGTGCGTGAGTGTCTCTGTGTGTCTCTGTCTGTGTGTGTCTCTGTGTGTGTGTCTGTGTGTGAGTGTCTCTGTGTGAGTGTCTCTGTCTGTGTGTGTCTGTGTGAGTGTCTGTGTGTGTGTCTCTGTGTGTGTCTGTGTGTATGTCTCTGTGTGTGTCTGTGTGTCTGTGTGTGAGTGTTTCTGTGTGTCTCTGTCTGTGTGTGTCTCTGTGTGTGTGTCTGTGTGTGTGTCTCTGTGTGTGAGTGTCTCTTTGTGTGAGTGTCTCTGTGTGTCTGTGTGTGTGTGTGTGTCTGTGTGAGTGTGTGTGTGTCTCTGTGTGTGTGTGTGTCTCTGTGTGTGTGTCTCTGTGTGTGTGTGTCTCTGTGTGTGTGTCTGTGTGTGTGTCTCTGTGTATGAGTGTGTGTGTGTGTCTCTGTGTGTCTGTGTGTGTGTCTCTGTGTGTGTGTGTGTCTCTGTGTGTGTGTGTGTCTCTGTGTGTGTGTCTGTGTGTGTGTCTCTGTGTGTGTGAGTGTGTGTGTGTGTCTGTGTGTGTCTGTGTGTCTGTGTGTGTGTCTGTCTCTGTGTGTGTGTGAGTGTCTCTGTGTGTGTGTCTGTGTGTGTGTCTCTGTGTGTGTGTGTGTCTGTGTGTGAGTGTCTCTGTGTGTGTGTGTGTCTGTGTGTGTCTGTGTGTGTGTCTCTGTGTGTGTCTCTGTGTGTGTCTGTGTGTGTGTCTGTGTGTCTCTGTGTGTGTCTCAGCCGTGCTGAGTGCTCCGACTGTCACCTTGATGCTCCACAAGGACGCGATGCTGGAGGAGGGTGGTGAGGAGGGTGGTGAGGAGGGTGGTGAGGAGGGTGGTGAGGAGGGTGGTGAGGAGGGTGGTGAGGAGGGTGGTGAGGAGGGTGGTGAGGAGGAGGAGGAGTGTGGTGGTAAGCGTGAGGACTACGAACATGACGACAAAGATGGCTACGAGAATGACTACGACGACGATGATGACGACGATGAGGGTGATGGCGGCGATGGCGGTGGCGACGAGGGAGAGCGGTGGGAGCTGTCCGTGCGGGTCTCCATGAGGAGTGAGTGGAGGAGGAGGATGGCGCAGAATGACGTGCTGTACCATCTACAAGCCGAGATCTCCACAAGGAGGGGTGTGACTAGCACGGTGAGAGTGGGGGGGTGGGTGGGTGGGTGAGGG